CAACCTCTAGAAACTCCGTTGCTGTAGACTTGATGACACAGACCCTATGACTAAGTTACACTGCGGCTCAATTTATTTAACGCGAAGACCGACTTTTTTCATTGTTTCTTCATTTGGTTCCTCGATATTGCCAATTATGAACCTGTTGCATCTCTATTGGTCGCTAGAGGCCATGCTCCCCCTCCGATTTGAGTAGGTTTCCGCAAACCTGCGCAACAAGAAGCCGAAGCTTCAGCTGTCATAGCCTAGTGAAGGATTAACGTTGTTTTCATGAACCTGGTGGAACGATGTGGTTTGAACAGGTTTAAAGAGGTTTCCTTTTAAGACAGCGTCTAGTCTTTATATGCATTTTTCTCAGTTAATTTTATCTACTAGAAATTTTTTCAGACCAGAGTCAGCCAGCAATTAAAGTTGAAAAGAAGGTTACCAAGTTCAAACCAATTAAGTTGCTTCAGTAATGCTCTGTCAAGAATGCGAACTGTTATAAAAACGGTTTGACTTTAACAGCGCAGTTGTTACTCTGTAAAATTCTAATAATAATTCTCAGTATCACACACGGTCTGATTACTGCTAAGTCATGCGTTACAAATGCCTGTTTCCAGAACAGGTTTGTTCGAATTGAATTTGATTCGGCTTAGCACAGCGTGCGTCCTCTTGTGCAAAATGAGAACAAAGTTTGCTTATTGAATCGCTCTTAAAATCATGACAGCATTCGTGCACACCATGTCTAGACTTATTTGTAGTGCAGGCAAAATATGGTGAATGTTTTGAAAGTGTGAAACGCGTTGTATATAAAGCTGTCAAACAATAACGTAATTAATTGGCCTCCTGCAAAATCTAGATCTTAATCGCCACAGTGGATAGCTGATATCAGTGTTGAAACAAACAATTCTACGTGGTAATTTTTCTGCCAGTGAGCAAGTCATGAACTGAAACTCTGAACAAACTGATTACTCGTTGTGGCTTCAATGCATTTGGACAACATCCCGTTGTGTAGAAAATTGTGTGTAAGAAAAGTGTGCATTTGTGACAAACAGAATGGAATGATTGGGCCAATCATCAAAATACCTCCTACAAAGAAGCGATAACGTGCTTGGATCATGCAGTCTAACTTCTAAAAAATAACAGTGGTTGGATTTCGACTTCAGTTTTTAAAGCAGTCTGAATTATTTATTCTTTCATTCAGCTCAGCAATGCTATATAGTTTCATCACTCATTTTCGAACTCAGATTCATTCTCATGAATGAGTTGATGTAATGATGCCCAAATGTTTTTGATATCAATTTTGTTTGCAAAAATTGTAGAAGTTTTAAAGGCAGTTTTTTTAAATTTTGTAAACTGCGTTTCACAGCAAAAGGCAACAATACGAAGTCAAAATATAACCGTCTAAAACGGTTCTCATGCCTTCATTTTGAATACAGCGTACTACAGTATACTGAACTACAGTACCATTTGATAGTTTAGTTAGGTTCCGCATTACAGCATGAAGTTCGTGAAAAAGTATGCCAATAAAGAAAACGGAATTTGCAGTTCTACGTACCATTATATTAACTGTAGATAATGTAATAAATTAAATTTTCAAAGAATAAAATTAATTTTGTTTTCAATTGGCACGTTTATTTAAGTCATGGTTCGTCACTACGGTTGGTTAGCAACTAGAGTGAAAGTTTTGATTTTCAGGTACGCATGATCGATTAAAACTGAAATCGCGTATATTGTTGAAGCCTTGATATATCTTGCAACAAACCTCATTATTCTTTACAACTTTCGATGATTTACGTGCCTTATGGCAGTGAAGATTGCATCGATAAAGATGTCATATGTAACGACATTGTAAATATTTCATTTTCAAACTGCTAAACAGCGCAGCAGCATTCGAAAATGGATTAAACTCATTTCAGATTTTCTTAGAATTATTTGGATTTTATTATCCATTCGTTTTCAAACGCCTATCTTTAAAAAGCTTCGATATTACTGCTATTAAAAGCAGAGTAAAAATTTTATGTACAAATCGTTAGACACGTAAATGTATGACAAATTTCCGATAAATCCTGATTGCCATACAATTCTACCTTTCGTCAGAGCGATTTTATGCGCTTCTAATCCGATGACGCTGTTAGTTTGCCAAAGCTAATTACTCTACGTGTGTCATCAACTAAAGTCATTCTGCGTTAATCGCGTTTTGACGAAAAATTCCGTTTTATAGCTAATTTTTTGATGCGCGCCAAACTGTCACTTTTCTACAGCTGTTTGCTCCTGTTCGTTATCTGATCAAAATTCAATTCCAACCAAGAAGGAAAGATTTATTTACAATCTTTCATGCAAATTCAGTGTACAACACGAGTTTAATTAATTAATGCAACATACACATATTTTCACGAGATCAACGATTGGAGTACAGATTCTATACATTAAAATCTTAAAGCATTGATCAAATCGTATCATTTTAAAGCAAATTTTCAAATTCATCAAATATTTCGTGGGATTCGAAGTCCGAACAGTCCGTTATTTCGCCGCAAGGTTGCCTTAGATATATGAGTCCGTATTCTGATTTCAGACAGCTGTGCTTGACATGGCAGATCACTTTCACTTCGCCTATGCTCATTTCATAGCCTTCGTCTGTGATGCAACCTGAAACAAAAAGTTTTACTGGTGCGCTCTGACATCAATTACTGTATCTGATTGTCAGGATGTATTTTTTTCTCTATAATGAATGCGATGTGTTTTTCATTCAGAGTGTATATATTTTGCACTGCATATGCGTTGCACCGCTTGTTCGGTTTTATGTTTCTCCATGTCATAATTTTTAAAATGCTCGTGTCATGTTTCTTCAGTTTATGTTGTGTAATTTTGAAGTTGTGCATTCGTAGTGCTCTACTATTGATGTTTGTAATACCTGTTAACTTTGACTTTCCGCCATCCATGCAAATCATTCTGGCATGATTTTTCACCCATACGTCTCCGATGTAGTATTTTTGACCACTGTCTGTGCAACTCTTTTTATTAATTTCTAAAATTTCAATGTAAACACACGTACGGATTGCTTCGTTTATGAAAATTTTCTGCAGGCACAACTTGCATATCTTTCAAACCAATTTTTATGGAATAGCATCAACACTGACTATAACAAATTTGAAAACACAAACACCACCCGCACCAACAGCGAAACAAAAGTGCCCCATAAAGTACAGTAATTCAAACGACATTTCTCATTTACTTAAACGTGAACAGTTTCTGATCATCTTTCAATAGACATGACAGTGTGATAACTCAGAGAAGCAAGAGGGGTTAGGCTCAAAGTTTAGCTATCGCTTGCGCTTACCCTGAGCGTGTTCTTCAGAGGAAGTTAATCCTTGGTCGCTCAAAGTACTTTGTGCCTCTTCGCTAGTGCACGGCGTTTCTGCACTGCACGCCGTAGACTTGTACACGACATGACCGTACTTCTGTACACAAGTGTGCAGCATATGGTCCATAACGAACGAATCATTGATGCCCAAACCCAATTTTTGGTAAGTTATACATCCTGAAATTCACGTAACCTGAATGTATACGCCTACTTGAAGGGCCAATGCAAATGACATAGTTTGTGGTATTATGCGAAGACGTACCTATAGGTTCAGCGATGCCAGTTTCCTGACAGCGGTAGCGTACGTTGTTTTTATCCCAGATTTCACCGGCCAATTTCACGTCATTGTGAAAACGACAGTAAATAACTACAAATAAAGTAGGCTGCATTGTCATCAGTAGTAGGAAGATGTCACCAAACAATGCCAAGCAAAATATTGATTTCAAGAATTGCTGTTCCGAGCTACATATTGAATATCTTTTATGCTTTGATTATGACGCTAAGTAACGATGGCGTTTATGGAGCCAAATTTAACTGTATTTATTATAACCCATTGAAAACCCTGTATACTTATACGAACTCTGCCATTACCTATCCCAAACCCTAATGAGAAAAGAATAGGTTTGGAGTCTGACGCGAGGATCCCTCAAAACATAGCCTCTTGGCTAATGGCATTAGCGTAATCGAATGAAACTCGCTCCTCTGCTTTCAAGGGCCGCACACACC